AAAAAAAAAAAAAAAAACCAAACTGACCTTCGAGGATTGGCGAATTTTCAAGGGCGAGAGCGCCTGAGGTGCATAAAGACCCCCGGGGCCACGCAGACTGAACTCTCGGTTCGTCCGGCCCGGCAGGGATGAGGCGCTGAAGGAGCCCACACGGTGCTGCCGCAGGTCACAGAAATAATGGCTTTATTCTCCTCCTCCCGGGGTACCCGCTCTGGGAAGGGCGGGGGTTCCCTCTGCCTTCTCTTTGCAAAGCGGTAGAGACAGCAGCCTCCGAGTACCGTGAGCAAGCTGAGGTGAGAGGTTTGCTTCTTGTGGGTTTTTGGGTTTTTTTGAAAGACCGTTAAACTGAAGTCTCTGCTTTCCCGTGCACAAAGAAATAAACACAAGGCGTACTTTGCCCCCGATAGCATTGTAACTGTATTTTACGCCAAATATCCTATGTACATTTCGCTGCCATCTGCCACCCGTGGACTCTCGGGAAGCTGCTGCGGCAGCCTGTGGTTGTGTTGCTTGTTGCCGTGTGCTGACACAGAATGTATCCTTTTTTGAAAGATTGAAAAGGCTAAACCTATAAAATGTGGAACTTTTGGTGCTACATCTCTGCAGCAAAGATACTTAGCGACAGGAGATTTTGGTGGAAACCTTAACATATGGTAAGCACGCGTACTCCTTCAAAGCTTTTTCGCTCGATGTTGTACGTGGCTGCCTGAGCTGATGTTTCTGTGTGTGGCTGGCTTTTGTATAAAACGCGCACTGTGCTGCATGTGATTGGGATCCAGTCGTAAGCTGCGCTGGCTATTGGGTTGGAACATCCCTGTTTTGTAAAAACAATGTGAATTCTGTGTAGCGGCTTAATGCAGTGCTGTTTCACTTGCCTCTTCTGTGTGCACCTACGAAGACCTGTTTAAGTTCTGCTAGGTCCTCCTCTGAAAAGAGGCCTTTGAGTGGATGCACAAGTGCAAACAAGAAGTTGCGTTCAACCTAAATTTGATGTCTAGAGTAAATACATACTTTTAATCTTGAGGTTTCAATTGTTTTTTCAGGCCTCTGAATGATTTGGATAATTACTTTTTGTAGGTAAACGGATTATCAAATAAAGTTATAGGGTCAAAAAGGGGTTGGGTTTTATTATTGTTACCATATTTCCCTTGCCAAGGAAGTATTGGTTCTACTTAGTTGGGATAGCAAGAATGACATGGATTAGTCACTAGTTGAAATTTACAATAAAATTCCGAAGGATTCTCAAAGGATAAGAATCAGTGGGAAAGAACCATAAAAGCCACAGTTGGATGCAACTTCCGTTTGAGTCTGAAGAGCAGTAGTCAGAGCTAGGTCATTTTATGTACTTACTGAAAGTAAAGCTAACTGGAGTATTTTGATCTGTAGCACAATTCCTTTTGAGCCCAACATAAAAACTGGTTCTTAACTGTTGCTGTGGTGAATGCCACACCTGCCTTTACAAACAGGGAAGTCCAGAACTAAGCAAAAACTTTCAGACCAATCTAAAGCAGTAGCCAAAGAAGGAATCGAACAAAGATTCGTGGTTCTTAATGGTGATAGCCATATTTTGTTCCCACTGTTCATCTGAGCTTATATTATTTGTGCTCAAGATTCTTCTCATTTTTACATGAATCCTGAGTGTCAAGGAAAATGCCATGTTATCTGTTCTTTTCTTTCTTGCCTAGGAATTTAGAAGCTCCTGAAATACCTGTGTATTCTGTGAAAGGTCATAAGGAGATCATAAACAGTATAGATGGTGTAGGTGGCTTAGGAATTGGGGAAGGTGCACCAGAAATTGTGACTGGCAGTCGAGATGGTGAGTTAGTGAACTCTAAAAGTCTTTTCAGTTATTCTCAGAAAGTAGTCTGCCAGCTTCGATGGCAGGGCGCAGTCTGCCCCCTGAACTAGTTACACATCCGTTGCAACTAGTTCTTCATATGCTGTCTTTTGAATCTTGCTCTTCAGTTCTTCAGTTCTTTTAGAAGCTGTAGATAAGCAGAAGATGCTGTTGTCACCAAGTGTGGGATGGGAAGAATACAAAGCAGAATAAATGAAAAATACCAGCTCGAGAAAATATACCCGTACAAATACTTTTGCTTTATTTCTGTTTTATTTTTTTCTACCTGCTAAACGCAGTCTGGCCTTCTGGACTTGAAAGAGATGCTTCTATGTTTTGAATAATCAGGCTGAAAAGCAAAGGCCTTCCCTGGGATGATGAACTCAACGTGACAGTGTATCCATAATACAAAAGCCATTGTCCTTCTTTTACAGGAACTGTGAAGGTATGGGACCCGAGACAGAAAGATACTCCTGTTGCTAATATGGAACCTGTAGAGGGGGAGAGCAAAAGAGACTGCTGGACAGTAGCATTTGGTAATCTATCGGATTATGACTGTTCCTCCCTCTAATATGACTGTGCTTTGACACTTATCAAAGTATTTCAGGATGTTGTGGAATAGTTTATTTTGTATGGACCCACCAGTAGCAGGTTTTGCTTTTCAACATTGTTGAATTGGTGTGGTTTTGATGTGTTGTTCAAAACAAGCCAGTTTTGTGATAGTTGGGTTTTGGACTCATTCTCTTACTTCCTTTGGTCCATCATTTCACAGATAAGCAGCGCAAGCTTTATTTCTGTGTCTAGGAATGTAAAAACTGCACACTGCACAGCAATGTCCAACTGCATTGTCCTGAAGGAGTATAAATGTTGCAGTGCACAGGGAACCAGTCACTGTTGTAGTGTAGTTCCAGCTATCAAGCATTAAGGCATTAATTTAAGAGAAGATCCTTGAAGCTAAGAGCTAATTAAAGACAACAGAGATGCTTGATGTGTGCTCTGCATTTTTCCTTTTGGGGGAACAAGCTGCTTCTGTCTGACACAAGCTGGTATTTCTGGATTAGCTCCATTTTTGTCTCCAGAGTCAAGGAGTTTTAAAAACTGCTAATAAGTGCATGGATTATAATAAAGCAATTGATACTAAGGAGAGCGCACTTTCTGGCAAGTAGGTACAACCATAATGCTCATTGCTGTTGGCACCTTTGTCTTCTGCTTTGACGAATGGAGAAAAAAGTGGCCTTGTATTTTCTTCAATATTCTTTTGAGTTACTGAAGCTTGAGCCAAGGCCAGGTTCATCTTGAACTACATGCCCTGGGCTAACATCTTTCAGACACTGATGTGCTTCCTTGGTCCTGTCAGCTGAGAGTTTTTGGAGGCAGCCTTCTGCATCTATCTAGTGGTGGCCACGGTAACAGCCCGGGCCTCCCTACGAGTCTGTATTTGCAGAAAAGTCTTCTTGTCCCACTAACGTTTCACGCTTGGGAGGCTGGTTAAGGAACCGCTGAAGCGCTTTCCACCCCAGTGCCGTGATGGTGTCTGGGGAGCATGGTTTATAGCAGATGAAGATTTAGAGAAGGAATGTACTTGTATAGATTTGCAAGAACAGTGTGCAGTACTTGTACTGCCTGAACTGTACAGACTTTGGCAGGGCGAATAAAACTTTTGTTTGTATTTTTAAAAGAAAGAGACTGCCAGTTTTGAAGCTGTATTTTGTATACCTTTCAGGTTTGAAAAACAGCTTTGTTTCTTAAATCTTAATACCCCAATAGTAATATATTTTTGGCATAAATGGAAGTTGAAATTGCAGGCTTACGAGGTCTGAAATTTACAGATGAAAGAAGGTTTCTCTATTTTGATTAATTCTTTCTCTGTGTCCAGGCAATGCTTACAATCAAGAGGAACGTGTTGTATGTGCCGGATATGACAATGGGGACATTAAATTGTTTGACTTAAAAACCATGTCGCTACGATGGGAGACCAACATTAAGAATGGGGTAAGAAAACCATGAAAGTATTTTTCATTCCAGCTTCTGAGCGGGATAGAAACATTAAAAGGACTCTGGCTACCTGAAATCTACCCAGAAGACTTTTCTGCTGAGATTGTACCAAGGAATCATTTTCTTTAAGTTCACCAAATTGTACCCCTCAGGTTCTTGGTCTGGATAGCATGGGGTATTTTTCAATGGATTCATGTTTTCAGATGATTTTGTTATTTCCAAATTGGTGGTGATGTCATTGTAACAATAGCCAATGATTAATATATATCTACAAATCACAAAACCCTCTTTTTTTTTTTTTTTTTTTTTTAAAGCAGTGGCTAAATTTCAAGGCTGAATATATATATTTTTTTTTTTTATTTCCAGGTTTGCAGCGTGGAGTTTGACAGAAAAGATGTAAATATGAACAAGCTAGTGGCCACATCGCTTGAGGGAAAATTTCATGTTTTCGATCTGAGAACTCAGCATCCAACCAAAGGTTTTGCTTCCGTTTCAGAGAAGGTATGGGGAGACGGAGAATTTCTTACCAAGAGACAAAATTATTGAATAGATGCTGTCAAAGTACTACAGGTTTTAAAACTATTGTCTTTGATAGGTAATAGATGCCCAGGTTACTGGGGCCCAAGCTGTGCATAGTGTGGCCCCAGCAAGCAGTGAAAGGGCTTCTGTTTATCCAGCTGCCAGGGTTTCATCCCTTTTATAACCTGACATTTGGCCTTCTCTGGTCTTTGTTGCAGTTGCACCTCTGTGCACTCAGCTGTGCCCCAGTCTGGCAGCCAGGTTTGTTGGAGGCCATATTATATTGGGAGGAGCATGCAGATTCAAATCTTAAATATATCCTAAAATAAAATGAGCTCTCTGCAAACACTTTTCTTCCTGCAGTCACCAGACCTCCTGTGTGTCACAGAAATCGTTATTTTTCTTCAGAACCAAACATTTTAGGATTGGGATATTCAGAGTGCGTGAAAGGATGTGTAGGAGAGACTTAATGACCTGGAGGCTGTTAAATGTGGAAAATTCTTACAAACTTTTTTCTTCCATCTGTGACACTGTGTTGATTAGTTTAAGTCTAAAAATATAAGTACTTTTTAAATTTATTTTTTTTTAGTGAACAAAATCTGATGATAATTAGAGAAGAGGAACTTTTGTGGTGAAGGTCTCCAGGACTGTCTAAATTAGAAAAAGCTGAGTTTCAACTTAGTATCTTTACAGTAATATTTTCCATACCACCATTCGAAGCAGATAAGATGTTGGAAGTATTTTGATTAGATAACACAAAAGTATTTACTGAATTAGTGTTTGTAATAATCAAAATGTGAAAATGGAATTTCTTGTCTTTCCTTCACTGCATTTAAGCTTTTTCTTTTGGACATTTGCAGACAGATAGGCATTAAGTCAGAGCACGTGTGTTCGTTTTTTTCCCCTAAGTGATTTCTATTGCTATGTGATCTTGCTGTTCCCTGGCTGAGATTTAAATTTGAATTGTAGATTGTTTGTTGTGTTTGCACCGTGTTCGTAGTGTATTCCTTTCCAGTAATGATTTTAAGAGATGTCACACAGCGAAATTAACCCTATCGTGACTGTGTCACCCAAAAGCCTGGGAATCTTGTAGTTCTAGAGCCGTTCCAAAAGACATGCTTACGCAGCCACTTTACCTCTATTTACCCTTGCTCATGGCCAGCCCGGAAGAAGCTATAGTACCAGTGAGTGGTTGCCTTGGTAGGGTTGCTGCCGTATGCCTGCAGAAGAATGGGGTGTGTTGGAGGCCTGACTTGGCTTCTCCTGTGTGGGAACTGGCCGCCCCTGTGGCAGCAGGTCACAAGGCTGGAGGAAGGGAAGGTACCTCAGTATGGATGTTCCAATATCCACCATGAGAAGGCTGGGTTCTCTTCATGCAAGTGATTGCCATTTTAAGATTCTGCGGCCTTTCTCGTGAAGCTCGCCTGTAACTGACTTCTATACAATACTGATTTGTTTTTATTAGGCACAAAAATCTACCATATGGCAGGTTCGGCACCTACCACAGAACAGGGATATATTTATGACGAGTGGAGGAGCTGGGAGCCTTCATCTCTGGAAATAGTAAGTGATCACTCTCTAGCCTGTAAAAGGGGGAATAAGAAACCAGTTGCTTAATGTTTTAAGAAAGAATCTTCCTGAACATGATGAGTGGGGTCTTGCTTCCAACCTCAGAATACCTAGATAAGATAATTGCTTACAAATGGAGTAGAAAGAGTGACTTCAGTGTCAATACTTGATCTGGAATCCTGAATTAATCCCTAAAAGAATATGACAACAGCACAGGTGAATTTTGGCTTTGTCACTTTCCTAACATAATAAAGATCTAATTACATCCTTGGTTAAGAAGGTGATAAATGGAAGAAAATGGATTTCTTAAAGTTTTCATGTGGTAGCAGTTATGTCTGAGAAGACTATTGAAAGCCTGGAATTTTAATGGTTTTTAAATTTGCATCTTCTTACATTAAATTATTTTGCCATGTAATCATCCAAATGCAGTGAAGTAGGTGCATTACATTTCAGAGGGATAGATGAGGTGAAATTTTCTTGCCTGTGACAAAAGCCAAAGAATTAGAAAATGAAGGGCTATAGGAGAGAGGTGTCAGGATTCAGAACTTCCTCCCTCACTTTTTCTTTCATGAAATATTTACTAAGTATGCAGTCTGGATGTAGCTGGATATGATTATTCATTATTCTAAATACATTTATTTGCCTTATCTTGAGAACAGAGGAAATCCTTCTCTGTGTGCTAAAACAAAAAGGATAATGTGTTTGTATCAGTAAATTCTAAGTGCATGTTTTACTTTTCTTTGCTTCTTGCCAGTGAGTACCCAGCTCAGCGCTCGAAGAAAGATTCTGAAGGAGCTGAGATGGGGGTCGCAGGCTCAGTCAACCTCTTGCAGAATGTGACCCTGTCAACGCAGCCAATTTCTAGCCTAGACTGGAGCCCTGACAAAAAGGGACTGTGTGTTTGTGGTGCCTTTGACCAAACTGTGAGGGTACTGATAGTTACCAAGCTTAATAAAGTTTGACAGGAAAACTGGAATTTTTGATGAGAAAGCAATATAATTTGCAGTCTGTAAATATGGAAGGGAGAGCCCTCCTGTTTCTAATTTAATTTCTCCTTTATTAAAACTGGATTAAAGAATAGAAACCAGATCTTTCTATTGAAAGTTCAGATGCACGCAGTTAAGAGTTGTTTGACCGTGCCCAATGAGTTGAAGTTGCCTGGGCATAAAACTTTTACCTTCTAGAAATGTGAATTTATGTTTAAAGTAAAATGTGTCTTTGTGTTAAGGCAAGCTGTAATTTCAGAAATTGCTTTAAATTGTTTGTGTTCAGTTTAATCACAGTGCAAATCTGTTCACACTTGTTAAATAGTTTGGCTTTTTTAGATATAGTGTCATGCGTATGCATTCATGCAATGGAAACTACTATATACTCCCCCACAGAAACTCTCTGTGTCACTGGATATATTAATTAGAATGTTTGTTAAAGTGATTCGTTAGTACACTATAGAAACTGTAATGAATACTGGTTTAATGGACTAAGCTTTTTACTGAAGATAGTATTGAAATTAAACTGTTGAGCAAACTGCACTGTTCTATTATTTTAGTTTGGTTTCATAACAAGTTCTTAAGTTCTGTTGGTTTTATATCTGTTTGTAACTTGGTATTCTACAAATAAAATCAATCAGAGTGTTGTCTTAATACGAAGTATATTGTTCAAACATCTAGAGGTTTAGAGGTTTAGAGAAGGAATGTACTTGGATAGGTTTACAAAAACAGTGTGCACTACTTAGATAACACTTACTTATTTTGCAGCAAAAGTTACTAAAACTTAACCTCCATCATGAAAAACTTTATAAGGTAGCCAGCGTACTTTTTTTTTTTTTTTAAAACGATTCCGTATTTCTTCAAAACCCCATGTGACAGTAGCTTCATTACCGTAGTTTTACCTGAACTTTTTTTTGTAATTCCCCTTATCTCCAATGTGTTTCTTTTCTGGCAGCAGCACACGCTGGTAAAATCAGTTTTTAGCAGGCACATCCAGTTACTGTCCTTTCTCTGTGGATGTATGGTGCGGGCTTTCTTAGTTTCAGTAACCTCTAATGATTTGTCATTTCTTTGTGTGGTATTAGCTTTCAGCTGACTTGTATGTCCATTTGCAAATTTCAGGTAAATGCATTGAACTACTTCTGAAACCAGATTGTGATTGGAAAACGTTGGCTTTGTCTAGGTTAACCACAAAAAAAGCCTGCGTGGCCATTTGCAAAGCAACTCTCAGGCTTCAGAATGAGGAATTGGTATCTGACAAATTCAGGTGAGTCGCCTGCGCTGCATCAGGCCTGACCTTCCAGGAACTGCTCCTGAAAACTAGAGGCTGCTCTGGAGGGAGAGAGAGGTGCTGGGGCCTTATGGCTGTCGTGGTCCTGCCGCCAGCTGGCGTCCAAGCAAGATGCAGGAGGGAGGGGAAACGGCCAAATACTGAAGGTTAAGGTAGGGAAGGTGGCAAATGGGAGAAGCAGTGTGGAAGCCTACTGAAAGTATAAGGGGAAGTGGTTGAAAGGAGAGGTGAGGAGCTGTAGCAGAAGGGTGACGCTAAGGCTGGGATGAGGTAGTGAGAGACAGCAAACCTGCAGACCTGGCACTATGCGATGTTATGAACTGAGAGTTCCCCACTGCAGCAAGTCACCTGCTAGAGGACGAGGCAGGTCTAAAAGGTCTGAATGTGCTGATGGATCCAAACTGGACCTTGCTATACTTCTATGCTACTACTGTGTTGCAGTTAGTAATAATAAGAAATTACAGTGTCTCAACAACTTCGTAAAATCTAGAAGTATTGCCCCTCCAAATAACCGCTTGTGTCAGAAAAATGATATTGGGATAACTAAATCACAAACTTAAAAGGGAAATGGGATGCAAATTTGCCTGTGTATTGTCAATCAACTCTGTTTTGGAGAGTATGAGGTGACAAGCTTTGGACTGAGAAACTTTGGCCTTTTTCTCTCATCTAGGATTCCAGCTAAATAGAAGTGGGATAAAATTGTCCTTATTACCTCCTGTGTATCTTGATTAAACCAGCTGAGGAAATAGAGAGCAGGCGCCTGTGGGTAAGAAAGGCTCACAGGCTATTAAACCTTAAATGCTGTGGAATGGAGAGAGCATTAATGCCTGTGTAGCAGAAGGGGGCCATCAGGAAAATTGCAATAGACCATAAACCCAATGTGTCTGTGGAAGTCCATGGTTTTAGTAGCTCCCTGATACTAAGCTCTAGCCTGCATTCAAGTGTAGTCTTCTATCTCAGGTTTAGCAAGGGCCAGCATGGATGAAAGCACTAACCAACAGTAACAAACTGGGAGGTATCTGAAACTGTAACAAACACTTACTTCCAGAACAAGCAGCCTGTAGGTTTGACCAGTAGGAATCTGTCCCCCTGTAAAGGAGGCATCTTGTCAGCAGCGTGGCCAGAACCGTGGGGTTGCCCTGGTGAGGCAGGTTCCCAGTGCTATGGGCCAGCACCAAAGCTGTTAAGGCTGAGCCCAGAACTTCAAAATCCCTAAGCAGAGGCTGATGAGGTCTGTCCATCTGTCAAGAAACGTGCCATACTAACCTCTGCAGGTGTACATGCAGGTCTCACTGTGTCTTGGCAAGCAAATGGCAAGTTGTGTAGCATGTTAGACGTACGTAGGTCTGCAAGTGCTCTTTCAAGGGATGTAGGCTAAATATTTGGTGGTAGGCAAAGATGTATGAGGTCCAGCTGTCTTCCCTAAGACTTGACGGTTTGCTTTCAAGTGTAACATTTAGTATATATAATTTTTTCTGGCACACAAGTAATCCCATCTCCTTGTGTGCATAGTGTAATGCTGAGAGCATATTCTGAAATAATTTTAAGTGTTGTCCCTCTTAGGGTGCATCCCAGCAGGAGGGAATAGGAGGAACTGCAATCTTGGCTGCAGCTGGGGGTGTGGAGTTCAAAGAATTAATTCAAGCGCTTTGAGTCTAAAAGGCACTGTTCAGAGACTGCCTCCATTAGCTTTGTGCTGTAAATAAAATATACTCACTAAAAAGTATGCTAGGCAGGGGAAGTTTGTGGAAATAAGGTTTCTTTAATAGTAATTCTGAGTCAAGCACAGAGTAAGGGAAGAAAAAGCTCTCAGTATAGGTACCGGTGAGGGAAAACGAAGAACTCTGAGAACTCTGGGCTTTTGGTGGTATTTTTATTACATACTTGTCCTGCAGCAAAAATGTCCCTTCCTTATACAAACAACTCCAGGGAAAGCTCCTAGTGAGCTTACGTGATGGTGATACAAATTAGAGCAAGAACTAATAAGCAACACTTCTTAAAGCTCCGTGGGCCTCCAAAAGATGAAATGTGTGTCACCTCTGGGTATTTAATTTTGGGATTAATTTTACCTGTTGTTTTGAAAACGAAGGAATGCATTTCCCTCATGAGTAGCTGGTTTCACGAAAATACATGACTGTTTGCATGGCAAGAGTTTGCAAAAAGCTGAAAGCTGGAGGGAAGTATAAATGAATCGTAGAGCTGTCCTTGTTCAGGAAAGGTAAGTGGCTATATCTGTGTACCTAAAACATGAAAGATAGTTACTGGCTGGAGAGAAGAGCTGTTGCTAGTGCCTATACTATGCTGTATCTCCTCAGCAGACTGGATTTCTGCTTCTCCCAGTGGCAGCCTTGCTTGCTCTATTTATAGTCCTTTCCCCCTCTTGCTGAAGACTGGCACCTTGCCTCTGCAGCCTGGAGGCTGAAGAACTAAAGCGTGTTCTAAATAAAATCATAATGCATCAGAGATGAAATGCAGAGGGCCAGATCCTCTCTGATGCAGCACCGAGGCACACTGGAAAACCCCTGACTCACCCAGGGACAGGGAATGGAATGTGCTACTGAGTTTGATGGCTGTACTGTGAGTGACCACATTTAACAAGTATATCTGCTTGTTTCCTGTGCAAACCTTCCCTGTATGGTCATGGAAAAGAAAAATCTGTTTATAAGCATGACTGTGGGCAGAATATAGGTGTTACATGTTTGTTTGTTTGTTTGTTTTTGTTAACCAGGTGTTGCCCAAATCCCTAGCTATTACAAGTCAGGGTTTTTTCTTTCACATCAATATAGTTACTTTGACTTTCACAATTTCTGCAGGTCCTTGGAGATTACAGCCCTCCAAGGTTTCTGTGCAGGTAGGCTATATTTGGTCTGTAGTATATAGTTTTCATCACACACACACACACACACACACAATTTACAGCTTAGTCATGACTTGGATTGAATTTTAAGCAAAGTAAGGAAAGTTATAACTCTGTATGGGAAGCTACAATACAGTGCGCTGTCATGGTGGGTGAAATATTACCAATTGTCTCTGATTTTCCGAAGTTCATCTGTGATATAGAATGTATTCAAAACCAGAATCAGCAACAAAAGAGCCATGACAGAAGACCGGACTGGGGAAAAAGTTAAGCAGCATGCCAGCATTTGAGAACTTGCCCAGTGAAGTTAGAACGGCTCGTGTGTGAGATGTATTGGTTTATAATTATTGCTTGTGCCATCCATCCATAGCAACTGTAACTCTGAAGGGCAGAGTTGAAGCAGGGAATAAATGGCAAACCTGTGAGGTGCACAGCATATACTAACATTTGGAAGTGCCCATGACCTTGCCCCTTCACAACAAGGGACAACATGGAACTGGTGCACAGAAGGAAGACAGGAAATTGCATGGAAAAAGAGACATCTGTCCTTCAGTGATAACTTCAGACACAGCAGGTACAGCTTGCCAATACAGTTCAGTTCATCCTACCTAAATTATTGCCATCAAATATATTCAATAGCAAATAGGGATTGTTTGGCTGACTGATTTATATGTAAGAAGCTATTAACTTGTGGCCTGCATATTCATCACTGTAATAAAGTTGTCTAACTGTAAGGCTGGTATTGACAAAATGTGAGAAAATATGTCAATTTACTACTATTTTTTTTTTTCAATTAAGCCTGCATTTTCTTGCTCCTGATGCTGCTACTGCTGTATTTTCAGTAGTAGGCACTCTGAACAGAACAACTGCCCACTCCTCAAAGAATCTCCAGATCACAGTCTCTATGTCTAGAGTGTCTTTAAAGTCTTTGTGCATGCAAGGTATTTTGCAGTAGCAAACACAAGTCCCCAGTACTTTACGCAAGGGCAGCTGTTAACTTGGGCAGGAGCTGAGAGCTGAATCCTTTTGTGTGCAGCATAAAGCATGGCTATGGGACTGTGGCAGTGCAGGCTCAGCCCAGAGGAAAGACGAAGTGGGATTTCTATGGAACTGGGCCAGTGCTATTTGGTGATGTAGCCAGTTCTAGCCTTGGCCGTAAAAGGCTTTCATTCCTTGCTGGCCTTTTTGGGAGGACCTGCTTCTCGCTGCACAGCCTGCTCTTGCAGTTGCACAGCATTGTTTGCAGAGGGCACTGGAAGTGGGTCAGTGTTGCTTGCGGGCTGCAAGAGTATCTAGGGTCTCAAGGGCAGTGAGCAAGCTGCCCCGTGCTCTGGCCTTCCTCCTCCTCAGCCACCAGTAAGGTAATTGCCAGCGAAGAGGCAGGGAAGTTTTGCAGGACCCTGCAGCAAAGGGGATCACAGCAGGGTATCTCTTTCCTATAATACTCTTCAGTGTTACACTCTTTAACTAGCTGATCTGGGCCA